ACCTGCCCTATAGTATCTTTTAATACTGAAAACAAGATCCTATTAAAGGGCCTAGCTCAATACTATTTCTATAGCTGTCTTTCATGAGTTTATATTCTTTAAAATCTGCGCTTGTGGACATATCAACTTTTAGAAGAACCAGAGCTAAAAAGGCTGGTGTATGCCCTGCAGCTGTGTTTAGGGCATACCAAGAGATTATTTTCAGAGAATAAGTTAATGCCTACCCTCAGAAATACCCACTATTTTGGAAATTGTAAGATTTAAATCACAAAAGTGAAAAAGCTCTTCAAGGCAGGGATTCTTAAACTTTTTCAAGTTCAGGACCCCTTTAGCAGGCTGGTGAAGACTGTTTCTTGCCTACATTAGAAATGGAAGGAAACAAAACACTAATTTCAATTTAGAGGTTAGTGAAAACAAAGGTGCATTTTTCTCCCAATTAAGATAGGGATCCTCTGAAATCTGCCCACAGACCCCTTAGAAGTCAGTGGAGCCCAGGTCAAGAATCTATACCTTACAATCAGTTTTTCTTGAGCTCAACATGAACCCAGTCTTGAGGGTTCCCCTTCCTTCAGTCAGGAAAGAGATTCTCAAACCTTTTTGGCCCATGTCTTCACTGACACCTCCAAATGCTATTAATAAGAAGGCTAGTATACTTTGGATGAGACAGCAGTAAGTTGATTTGGACACTCAATTAGGTTCCAGTTTTTTTGTATATTTTATCTCATTTGATCCTTCCAACAGCCTTTGAAGGAAGTAGGGCATCTTTCTTTATGACTGCTGTGTCGTGTTTTAATTCAATTCCTTTCCATTCAAAAAGTATTTATTAGGCATCTACTATGTTCAAAGCCAAGAGAATAGAATGGAGCAGAAGATAGGATTAGGGGTTTGGGGCCAGGAAGATCTTCTTTCAAATCCCACCCCTTAACATTTTCTAGCTGTGTGATCTTGTGTAAGACTCTTAATCTCTCAGAACTTCAGCTACCTTATCTGTATAATGGGGATAATAATAATAATATCCACAGAACCTACCTCACAGGTTGTTGTAAGGATTAAATGAGAAATTAGTGCTATATATCAGCTGCTATTACTTTTATCACTATTATATCTACCTGTGCAATGATCTGCAGAATGTTAAGTACAAAATAATAAGATCAGGATAGCAACGTACCTCAGGACTGTTTCTATTTGAACTTCATTGAACAAGGTGAGGAACATAATTTTTAAAGTAATTACAATAACCCATCAAAACTCAACTACACATAGTAAGGGAATATCAACTAGGGCAGCGAAGTGGTATAGTGGATAGAACACCAGGCCTCAGGAAGACCTGAGTCAAATCCAGTCTCAGACACTTAATAGCTGAGTGACCCTGGGCAAGTCACTTAACCCTGTTTGCTTCAGTTTCCTTATCTGGAGAAGGAAATGACAAACTATTCCAGTATCATTATCAAGAAAACCCCAAATGGGGTCATGAAGAGTTGAACATGTCTGAAACAACTGACTAACAATAAAATCGATATAACATGTTAAAATTATATGTAAAAATGTAAAAACCATTCTTCGTTTGTGATTACATAAAAACTTGTAGCATGTCATCTATATTTTGCTGACCTCTGCTCTAGAAAAGCAAAAATTGAAAAATCTCAAGAGAAATAATGGAAAAAGATAGAGGAGGCCTAGTAGTGCCAGATTTCAAATTATACTACAATATAGTAATCATGAAGATAATTTGGTATTGTAAAAACAAAATGGAAAATTTGATTAGTAGAACAGTTTAACTATAGGAGACCCAAAAGCAACTGACCATAGTAGTATAGTACTTGATAAACCCAAAGATTCCAACTACTGGAGTAAGTGGCTATTTGACAAAAACCACTTAGGAAGACTGGGAAATGATCTGGGAGAAAAATAGAATTAGACCAACATCTTACCCCATATACAATACTAAACTCTGAGTGGATATGTGGCCAAGATATAAAAGGTCATATAAACACTTTAGAGGATCCAGGAAGGAGATATCCCTCACAACTATGACCATAAAAAGGACAGAAAGAATTGAAGAAAGTAAAATGGATAACTTTGATAAAACTGGAAAGTCTTTGCATAAACTAAAATTAGAAGAAAAGGAGTTAACTGGGAAAAAAAATCTTTGTAGCAATTTTCTCTAATTAAGGTCTGATATCCAAGATAAGGGTTTGGTTCAAATATGTAAAAATAAAAGTTGCTACCTTGAATAGACAACTATAAAGAGAACACATTTAAGTTACCAATAATCATATGAAAAAATCCTTCAAGTCATAGTTGAAAATTAAGGTAACTCTGAGGTTACATGTGGCACCCATCAGATTGGCAAAGATGACCAAAAAGGAAAATACAATCGTTGTATGAGCAGTGGGAGGACAGGAACACCACTGTACTGTTGGTAGAGTTGTAAATTAATTCAATCACTCTGGAAAATAATTTAAAAGTACAATCAAAAATAGCATTTACTAGTCACATATTTCAAAGAGATCTGGAAAGAGGGAAAAGGATGCTTATACAAGGAAAGCATGCACACATTAATAAAAGGAATGTCAGAATTGCTATGTCAAGGAAAGTGACTGAAACTCTAGCTACTCTGAAAAACTAGATAATAATCATTCCAGGTGAACCAATCAATCAACATGCATTTATTAAATGGCTAGTGGGTACTAGCACTGTTCTGGGTGTTAAAGATAGAAAGAAAAAAGAGAGAGAGAGAGAGAGAGAGAGAGAGAGAGAGAGAGAGAGAGAGAGAGAGAGAGAGAGAGAGAGAGAGAGAGAGAAAGAAAGAAAGAAAGAAAGAAAGAAAGAAAGAAAGAAAGAAAGAAAGAAAGAAAGGAAGGAAGGAAGGAAGGAAGGAAGAAAGGAGAAAGAAAGAAAGAAAGAAAGAAAGAAAGAAAGAAAGAAAGAAAGAAAGAAAGAAAGAAAGAAAGAAAGAAAGGAAGGAAGGAAGGAAGAAGGAAGGAAGGAAGGAAGGAAGGAAGGAAGAAAGAAAGAAAGAAAGAAAGAAAGAAAGAAAGAAAGAAAGAAAGAAAGAAAGAAAGAAAGAAAGAAAGAAAGGAGAAAAAAAAGAAAGAAAAGAAAATTCCTAATCTCAAAAGGCTCACTCATAATTGTTGGCTCAAGCACTTCATAGTGCTGCATGAATTACAAGCACAAGGGAGTCTTTCAATGTGACCAGCCTCCCAGTATGATAGTAAGTTAATTATTCAACCCCACGACTACACAAGTCATCTATAAGCATAAGGGCAATAGGTAAAAGGGTCTCTCCAACAAATCGTGCACCAGCATCTGAGAACCTCCCAGTGTGACCAGAGACGGGATATGTATATCCTGCAAGGCTCTGTGTCTGGAGTCAGCAAGAGTGAAAAGTTCCACCAAGAAAACCCTGATGTGATCAGAAAGGCTTAGAGTTGTAGGCTCAGAAGCCACAAGGAGCAGCATTCGGCAGTGGACAGTGACCAGTGACTAGCAATCAACATAGTGCTGCAGTGCTCCGACCTGGGCAGCCAAGCCCAGGGACTCCAAGATACCCAAAACTCTGTCATGAGGTACTAGAAAGGCCCTTGAAGTTTCAGATCTCTGAACTTTAGGTATCCTGGGAGCCCAAGAAGGTGAAGATCAGCCCAAAGACCCGGGAGGCACAAGGTGAGACAAAGCAGGGCCAACTACTTCACCCAAAAGCGCAGCAGGAGGCAGAACCCGGCCCCATCACCAAGCCACAATTCGGGAACTAATGCTGGAAAAATGGCTAAACCAAAGAAAACACTAACCTGATATAAATAAATATATATATTAGAAATCTAGAGCTCCTGCCAAAAAGAAAGATTAACCTGTTAGAACTGCAAAAAGAGATTCAAAGAGGAAAATGGATTTTCCACAAGGACTACATGAATACACAGAAGAAATGAAGCTAGAAATTAAAAAATGAAATATAAGCTCTTGAAGAAAGAATTAGAAAATAAGAATCTTAGAAGAGAAAGTACTAAACCTTCCCTAAGAAATGGACTCACTGAAGACTAGAATAGACCAAAAAGAAATCAATAACTCCAAGACCCACAAGAAACATTAGCACAAAATAAAAAAGTTAAAAAAATAAATAAAATGTAAGCTATCTGATATCAAAACCAGAAGAACAGGTCAAGAAGAGATAATCTAAGAATTGCTAAATTCTCTGAAAACTGTGATTTTAAAAAGTCTGGGCGTTGTGTCTCAAGAAATTATAAATGAAAACTGCCTAGATCTACTGGAGACAGAGTAAAAAGAATAAAGTAAAAATAGAAAGAACTCACCAATCACTTCCTGAAAGGGAAGGAAAAGTTCCAAGGATGTCACAGACAAAATTAGCATCTCTCAATAATTTTTTTTAAAAAATACTACAAGCATCCAGAAAGAAGCAGTTCAAGTACCGAGGAACTAGGCAGGATTACATGAGATATTTTAGCATCTATGAAAAATCAGAGGAAATACTGGAATACAATACTCCTAAAGGCAAAAGATGTTGACTTACAACCAAGAATAAATTTACCCTGAAAAGCTGAGTGTATTCTTATAGAGAAAAAAAAATGAGTCTTTATTGGAATAGAGGATATTGAAGCATTTCTGATTTAACAGATGACAAATCCCTGTACTACAAATACAAACCCCAAAATATCCTTGAATTCAATAATTAAATTATATTGAAATTAGAGTATCATTAACAAACAAAATTATTGCCCACAATTTCCCCAGCGGAAAAAAAAAGTTGGTCCATGAAAATTTAACCACTTTTTAATAGATGTTGCCATCACAATGTGATAAGAAAATCTCTAACTACATTCTGCCATTTACTTAAGATGAACATGTCAAGAGTTCTTGCATTGCTTGCAAACAGAAGCACCTTCTAGAAAGGCTCTTGTTCTCAGACCTCTCAAATCATTCATATCACCTGCTCTCTATTTCACTTCCCAAACACCTCTCAGCTGCCTGTAAAAAAAAAAATGGTAAAACAGATTGAGAACAAGGAAAACTTTGACTCAGAGTTGAAAGAGGCTGGAGAAAAATTAGTAGTAGTCAACTCCTCTGCCACATGGTGTAAACCATGCAAAATGATCAAGCCTTTCTTTCATTCATTTTGTGAAGAGTACTCAGGCATGATCTTCATAGAAGTGGATGTAGATGACTGTCAGGATGTTGCTACTACACAGGATGAAATGAAATACATGCCAACATTTCAGTTCTACAAAAATGGACAAAAAATGAGTGAAGTCTCTGGAACCAATAAGGAAAAGCTCAAATCAATGAATTCAAGTAATTGTGGATCCTGTTAACAGTGTGAACTATGGTCAGTTGTCCTATTAACAGTGTCAGTTGTCTAAATTATATAGCTTATAATTTTTTCTATTTCTCCTAAAAGGTCAAGCATAACAAAAGTGTATATCCAAATAACATTTGACTTCACATGATAACAACATGTAAATCCTACCCTTTTGAGGGGGAAAAAAAAGATGCACAGATCAATTAGCATGCTGAAGTCTGCAAAACCAAGCTTGAGATATTGGCTACATCTCCTGTGTTAACCAGCTAGTTTCCTGTTTTACCTGATATAAATCTTCCCCTTTTGCCATCTGTTCTTTGATGTGTAAATCATTTTCTTCCCCCATGGCTCTTTGAAATGCCATTGTACCCATCCTGCTTATATACCCCAAATCTATATAAGATAGCTAAACTCCGATGAGACTCATTGATTGACAAAAGTTCAGTGTAGCCTATGCTTTGAGCATAAGAAACTGCAGTTTTTCTCCTATCTCTGCATATTTTATTGGTACCAGACAATTTTGTCACAACAAATGCTCAAACTTTTCAAACTACATGAAATCAAAAGCTTTCAAAATATATAGTTCTAGAAGAAGACATTAAAATCACATGGGAATAATTTGAAAAGGTACATATCATACCTGTTATTTTGTCTGCTATATTGTAGTTGTCCTAATGATACTTTCAGTGAATCTTATATAAAATGAGTTTATATTCCCTTACTCCTATTCAATTACAAAAGGTAGTCATTTACTTAGGAGAGTTAGAGGCCCACTAGAGATTGATGGAGAATTGCCTCTACTATTTATGGGATCAACAGAACCAGGAGAACATTGTATATAATATCAGCAACATTGTGCTATGATCAACTATGAACAACTTAACTCTTCTCAGAAATACAATGATCTAAGACAATTTCAAAGGATTCATAATGGAAAATGCTATCCATAACCAGAGAAAGATCTGATGGATTGAAGATGCAGATTGAAGCATATATTTTCAGGGTTTTTTTTGTGGTACTTTTCTTTTGGCCCCCTTCTTTCACAACATGACTAATATGGAAATATGTTTTACATGATTGCACATACATAACCTATATCAAGTTGTTTACTCAGTGAGTGCGTTGGTAAGGAAGGGAGGGAGAAAATTTAGAACTCAAAAATTTTTTAAATGAATGCTAAAAATTATCTTTACATATACTTGAAAAGATAAAATACTGTTTACTTATTTATTCATGGGCTCAAATGCAAGTTCTTTGATGGGGAGTGGGGCACTTACAGAGATTGTCCTATGTTTTATGTCATGTTGGATAAAGTGCCTGCATGGAAACCTTTTGGGTTTTATTTTGTTCGGAAGAATTAGACACAAAGCAAATTAGTCAAAAGGAGATTTTTTAAAGGAGCCTCTAAATTGAATCTAATCTGTATAAAACTACAACTTCAGTTCTAGATCATAAGTTGGAGAAGATTATTTTGGCAGCTGTATGAAGAATGGATTAGAGAGTGAGGAAACTGGGAATATATGTATGCTTTGTCCCTGATAATTAGATTATAAACTCCCTGGGAAGGTAACACTACCTGGAATTTATACTACAGATATGTAGATATAGATAGATCCTATATGTGTATATATATATATATATATATATATATATATATATATATATATGTGTGTATGCATGTATATATATAGATTTAGATGGGTGTGTGTGTGTGTGACATACACCTATAATCCTCCCTCACACCTAGCACAGTACTATGGCCATAGAAGGTGTTCAGTAAATACATGAATGAATGAATGAATGAACAAATAAAGTAATGCTTGATTGTTTCTTTAAAATATCTTAATTCATCAACCCAAACAAAAATGTAGATACTGTCATTTTATATATTATAATACTAACAAAGTGCAGCCTATGGATTCCAAAGATAACACATTAAAAATCATTGCCACTACAACCGTTTCCCTTTTTTACTTTCTGCTTCTCTGTTCCCTTTAGCAATAAAATGCAGGGTGCGGTGAAGTGGGTGTGGGAGAGGGGGAAGATGTACTCCTTTCCTGAAGTTGAAGAGGACTCGTGTCTCCAAAGGAGATATGCCTACTAAACGAGGAGGCTAGACTAGTATAATCTAAGGACCCTGGGTGGTTCCCAAGACCCTTTCAGGGAGACCCATATGATCAAAACTTTTTTCATAATTTAATTTCAAGGGATTTGAAGCTCCTCCCAGATTTCTCAATTCTTTGTCCAGTCCTTCTCTGGAGGAGGGAAGAGATATTATTTACTATAGAAGGTCTGATATAAATTGCTCCTTGCACTCTCCTATGTAAGTATCATTTGGGCAAAACCTGGTCATTGCAATATTTTCTCCCTAGAGGACCTAGGTGAATGATTCACATATTTCTTTCTCTAAAACAATAGCATTTACTTGATATGTTTTTTTCCCCAGTTCTAGAAGTACATAGGTAACTTGATACTGCATCATTATTTTTTAGGCAATTGGGGTTAAGTGACTTGCCCAAGGTCACACAGCTAGTAAGTATCAAGTGTTTGGTCTGAGGCTGGATTTGAACTCAGGTCCTCCTGACTTCAGGGTTGGTGTTCTATCCACTGTGCCACCAGCTGCACCTTGAATCAGTTTTTTAAAAGTCTAATACGAAACTTAAATTTCTTTGGTCAGAGCATAAAACTATAACTCTCAAGGAACCTGAAATTCTACTTTACAAATTATCTTTTGGGGGACTTAGTTTTTTAAACTTCAAAAATTCCCTATTGAAATGCAAATAACTTAGTAGTCATTATCCATTACTAAGTGAGAGAAAAGTAGTCATGCCACCCTTGGGAATGAGATACAAGGCCTCCACCTGGTAGAGAAAAGGTGGCCCAGGGGAAGAAGGGTAACTCCACATTGCTTTGCTTCGTAAGACTTAATGAAGATTGTACCTTAGCACTCAGCAATAGAGTGATCATTGTAGCCAGAAAGAAAAATTACCATCTCATGTCACTGTAAATTTATTCAGTCTTTTGGTAGATAAAAGTGGGGCTCAGTAGCCGATCTATTATCAACTACCTGTGTGAACATTGAACAAGTCAGAAATATTTTATAGGTCAGTTTACTTATCTATAAAATGATAGAACTGGATTAGATCAGTTGTTGCTGTTCAGTCATTTTTCAGCAAAGATACTGGAGTGGTTTTCCATTTCCTTCTCCGGCTCATTTTATAGATGAAGAAACTGAGGCAAACAGGGTTAAGTGACCTGCCCAGGGTCACATAGCTAGCAAGTGTCTGAAACCAGATTTGAACTCACAAAGATGAGTCCAAAGGCCTTTGATGGTCTCCAAGACCCTTTCAGGAGGTCCAAGAGGTCAAAATTATTTTCATAATAGATACTAATGTTGAGGTGCAAGGTGTGTGCGTCATGGTGTTGTCTTGAAAGAATTTGAGCTCAGGCTGTTTCCAAAACAAGTAAAGGCATTTATTTGGGGTGATGCACTCAGTGGTCTCTTCTCCTTAAGAAAGACAGAAGCCCAGCCAGGAGAAGCTAGGGATTTTTATAGAGGAAACATGCTATGTAGGCAGGGAGATGAGGTAATCAGGGATATGCAGGCAAGTAGCTCAGAGGTTTGCACATAGCTAGACATATCATTATTTCATTGCCCAGCCCATTTGCACAGAGCGGAGGGGCCCCTGCTAATCTCCAGAAAGGTTTCATCTAATCTCATCATCCCCAGAAAGTCTTCAGCTAATCTTATCACTAAGACATATTAATTTCTAATATGCTATATATCAATGTATATAATCCACATAAACAAAAGCTCCTTCAGAGTCCACAACAATTTCTAAGAGTGTAAAGTGACCAAAAAAGTTGGTCTCTAATGTCCCTTTCAGCTGTAAATTCTGTGATTCAATGTTCTCAACGGTTGCTAGTGAAAATTAATGAAGATCAATGAGGGGTAAAGCACAGAATATGAACTATAGGCAAATATTGCTGATAAATATTGATAGAAAATGTTTAAATTAAAATTTACCAAAGACGCTAAAGTATTAGTTACAAAAATTATTCACTGTTGGATTTAAATCAGGATTAGAAAGATGATTTAACATTAGCACGATTAACCATATAAACATTAAAATCACAAAATTCTATCAATATCAGAAAAAAAACCCTTTGATAAAATAGTGCACTCCTTTAGGTCAAAGGCACTAAAGAACATAAGAATAGAAGAATACTTTTTGATCTGATCAAAAGGACAAACCTAAATTATATGCAGTGAAGAAACACTAAAAGCCTTCCCATTAAGTTGAGGAGAAAAGCAAGGAGTCCCCTTTTCCCCATTGAAAATGAACATAGTATGAATATAGGGCTCCTCTCTATCTTTGGCCACTTCTCTTTGTATGTGGTATAACAGGTCTTTCACTGCCCACTGGAAAGCATGAAGGGAACTGTACAAGTAGTAGTGAGGAAATACAGTAGCAAGGAAGAGGTAGAGTAGATATGGTCAAGGAATCAGAGACTGAGAGAGGATGAGACTCAACCATTGCAAACTTGAAGGTAGGTGGTGGATACAGAGGAGGAAAGATATCTAGCACAGGAAAAATAGTTTTTCTCTATATTTGGCTTGCTCTTACTTACATGCCTGCTTTATAATCCCATGACCTATTTTTGATGAGATTGCTGCCAAAAGATTCAGTTTGGACTAAATTCTAAGTTCTTACCCCCTGATATAAGGAAGAATCTGGAGTTCAGCTGAGTTCAAAGTTTGGGGGTCTTTAAAGACTGACACTAACTACTAAAATAGTAGATTGAATATTTGGGGACCATGGTCCTCAAACCTATATTTTCTGTGTTCCTTTGTCTGATTATAGAAAGAGCAGCAGCAGAAAACCAAACACACTAAATCCTGTCTTCCCTAGAACTCCTGCATTTGGAGTGATCTGTATACTATCTGTGGCATGGGTTCTTAATCTTCTTTGTGTCATGGACTCCTTTGGTTCTCTGATGAAGGCTATGGAC